ATTTGAGAAATTCTGGTGAAATGTGACTTAAAAGCTTAACGAAACAAGGAAAGCAGAAAAAAAAAAACGTGCACAAAAGCAATGTTTTGGCTGGTGAAATTTCTCCAAAAAGTTCCCCATTTCGTCAAGCTTTTCAGTCACATTTCACTAGAATTCCTTGACTGCAGTCACCCCCATATTCTCACCCCAAAACAATGTGCATAAACTAACTGTTCTTCCCAACAGAAATTCGCCACATCCAAGATCGCCTGAAACAGTCTGCACTGTATGAATCATCATCCTCTGCTACTATCACATGAGATCAACAACACTATCTGTGTATGTTCTGAAATGTGTGTTGTTGCGTTGCTGTATATGATGCGACTGTATTTTGATCAGCAGAATAGTCGACTAGATTACTGTTTCTGTGTGTTGATTAAATTATTATACATGCCTATGAACTGATGGGTTTACTTGTAGCACTGTTGTCATTACTGTTGTTTTGTTACAGTCCCCACAGTGTGCCTGTCAAACAGCACCATAAACACCTGAGCACATTCTGCAGACCTGCCCACTCTGCATACAACTTCGAAAAGACACCTGGCCTCAAGAGCAAAGTATGCAGAGCAAGCTATGGGGAACCATGAAGGACCTGCTACTTACATGCGAGTTCATAGAGGCAACCCACTTGACGGTCTGATCTGAGCATATGAAACTGAACGCACACAAGAAGAAGTAGAAGTTTTGTTATTATTATTAGAAAAGAGGCTGGTCGAACAGTTAAGAACACTGGGCTTTCATTCAGGACAGCCAGATTCAAATCCTCTGTGAATAATGAAATTTGTCTGTACAGACGCACAAATAAAATCCTGACCTGAAGTCTGACGTGAATGTGCCAGCCATATGGCCTTAAACTGTTTGGTTCATGACCTCCAGTCTGATACCAGCCTAAGCAATTGTAAATACAAGCTGTAAAGATGGTATAGTAAGTCTCTTCTTCTTTACATTTACCAGCTGGAAGTTTTGGTTGTTCGTCCCTTTCTGAATTTCAATCTTGTTCCACCCACTACTTGAGTTTCAGAGATTTTGCTTGTTTGTATGCAGACTGTTGGTTCCAGATCTCTCAGGCAGGTTAACTCTGGTTCTCAAGGCAACACTCCTATTTAAACACATTTTTTTACTACATTCTTGTGCCCGGCTCTCTAGCATAGTTGGCTAAACCGGATTGCGCTGTGACGAACTCCTTGTGGTCCGGGTTCACTCCCGGGGGTAGGCAGAAAAGCCACATTTCTTCCAGATTTACGGTATTTACAATGGAATCAAGGCTGAAAGGTTGCGATATCCATAATACCGAGCCTAAGGGTTAACAACTCATGGCTTCTGGATACTAAAACAAACAAACATACTACATTCTTGTTGGTAGTTTAGTAAATAAAAGTGAAGGGCATATCGGCCATGTCTTGCTAGACTCATAGACTAGCTGCACTTGGCGGGTGATGTTATCAACAACATCATGGGGGCTACTTTGTCTGCTGATCTATAGCACAATGATTATACACACATCGTTCTCTTCCTCTCATACATGCCTCCTTGCCAGGTCCATTCTTCTTCTTCTTTTTTTTAATGTTCACTGGCTGTAAATTTTGGCTGAATCTTATAGTTTGTCTATTTATGAACCTTGGTCCTGTTCCAATTTTGTGTGTACATCCATTTTACAGATCTGACTAATTTGTACGAAGACATGGTTCTGTGCACATCGTGCCAGAATCACTTCTACCTTGAAGCAAACACTCGTAATTAGTGCTTTCACGAAATACTAGTTAGAGGATCAGTGGTCCCCCAGTAAAGCCATGGAACCCACATGGAAAGAATCCACTCGTAATTTAATGTTTACAAATATGTACACCTTACTTTATCTAACCTCAAGCCTTCTATAAACATTCATTCACAAACAATCTTTAGAATGTCTCCTTTGTCCAGTGTAAGTGTTCCTGTAGTTATTTTTTTTTTCTGCAGCCAAAACTGCTCTTTCATTCCCTCCAAGGCGATCATATCCTGGACAACCTATTTTCCATACTGCCAAACCCACAGATCCATGTAAAAACCCTGCTTTGGGTGTCCCAACTACACTTTCTTTCTTCAAAAGGCGAAAGGCCTTACCCCAAGGTAGAAAAAAAAACCCAATTAAATCAATGACTCTGCAGTAATAAACACGACAACTATAGTTCACAGTGTATATTTAATTCTTCACATAAGAAAGTTGATTTGCTAATGATGTACAACTGTCACAGCAAAGGGCAGCTGATTGGGAAGCATGTTTCATGACTATATAAAATATACCAGCAATACATTTTTAATACAGGAGCAGTCAATGAGTGTCATACCATCATGACCACCACAAAATACCAAATTATATTGTCTGTGGTCCCTGAGGCCCAGTTGATCATTACTTATATGTGGGTGCATTCATGCTGTATAGAGGTTGTTCTTAAGTAGCTAACACTTTTTTTCAAAAGTCTGCTACATATCCCCCTTTTTTTTAAGTCATGCTAAAGAAATTATAATTTGTAAACGGAGCGAAGAATGTAAGCACCCTCATCATCATCATGTACCTACGTGAATCAGTTTGTGTTGACAACCCAGTTGTGAATTCCATTGTCTCACTTTCGGCAGATCTTTCCCGTGGTCCCAACACATTTCAGTTTCCTTTTCCAGCAAATGATGACTGTCTCTTTCTGATGTTTGTGATTAATGGTCTTTGAGCCCTAGCCTCTTTCCAAACATCTTGGTTGCTCTTTTTGGCTGTGCAAGAAATTCTAAGACAAACGCTATCACTGACCCCTTAAATTTGTTCCGTGGGCCACCAAATAAGAAAAACAGCTTTATGGAACCTACATCTTGTGAAATACCGACAATAAGCAAATTGAAAAGGAATTAATTGTTCCCTCTTGTAGAATGAGCTGACAGGAGGAAAAAATTGGAGAAAAAAAGTCAGTCCTTAAATATTTAAGTCCCAGATGATTTACACCCAGATAAAACCCAATCTGGCCCCAATAACCCCAGCATTGGTCAAAGATACACTATTCCGCATAGTAAAACATTTAGCCATGTTTCTGCACACTCAGACCATACATGAAAAACAGAACTCATACTGTGATACGGTGATACATATGTGTAAATAACACACTGTCCACTGGTTGGCAACTGCATAAAGAGTTAAAGAAACAGATGAAAGTAACACTGACCAGAAAAAATAAAACTAGACAGCCAAGATTGTTTTTATGTTATGAGAATAAATACACTTGAGAAACTTAGTGAACACAGGAAAATTACATGAAAATTTAAAAAAGAGCAAGGGAAGGACAAGGAAAAATACCTGGATAGCTTAGCAACATGACACAGGAATAGAACACAGGGCTGATCTTTGTCTAGTGATCGTGTGAGATTCTTTTTTGGCACCTTTTAGTCTTTCTATATATGGGTTCTGGACCCCATGGGGGGAGGGAGGGGGGATTAGACCCTCTGCCCCCCCCCCAATCAAGCATGTCACAAAAGACGATTAATCGGGGGGGGGGGGGGGGGGGGGGGGGGGGGTTGTTATTTAGACTTGAATAATCAGAAATGACATATGAAACATTACTAAAGGCAGACGGCGACATTAGACAATTATTTCAATGTCAATCATTCCTAACAATTACGACTATGCTGTGTCGATTATTCACAAAATTATACTGATGGTACTAAATTTTCAGTCAATCATTCCACACACATATTTGATGAAGTAAATAGTTTAGTAAGTAAAAGTGAAGGGCATTTTTTAAGTTTTTTTTTTTTTTAATTTATAAAGATGGTACTGAATTTTTAAATGGATTTTTTTTTTTTAGATGATAGTGAATTTTCTAGTTAATAGTTCGTTCTAAAACACAAAACAATTTACATATAAATAATGGCTGATGCTACTACATGTGTATGATGACAAAATAAGCTTAAGCTTTCAACTAACTTACACTATATGACACTATATCTACAGCGTAAACTCTGATATAACCCCATAGTACTTTAACCAAACTCTCATGAACTTAACTTACACTCTACAACTGATATATTTACAGCTGAAACCTACACTCCACAACTAACCTACACTCTACAACTGATATATTTACAGCTGAAACCTACATTCCACAACTGATATATCTACAGTTTAAACCTACATTCTACAACTGATATATCTACGGCCTAAATCTAAACTGATGTATCTACAGCTTAAACCTACATTCTACAACTGATACATCCACAGCTTAAACCTACATTCTACAACTGATACATCTACAGCTTAAACCTACATTCTACAACTGATACATCTACAGCTTAAACCTACATTCTACAATTGATACATCTACAGCTTAAACCTACACTCTACAATTGATACATCTACAGCTTAAACCTACACTCTACAATTGATACATCTACAGCTTAAACCTACACTCTACAATTGATACATCTACAGCTTAAACCTACATTCTACAACTGATATATCTACAGCTTAAACCTACACTCTACAACTAACTTACTCTACAATTAACTAATACCCAAACTACTTTAAACTTATATTCGACAGCAAGGCTATTTAACTTGCAGCCTGCTGATCGTTGCCAGTTGTACTGATATTTCTATGACCTCTGGTCCGTGACGATCCCCATTTTAAAAATGCTGGCCACTGAGTAAACATAGTTGAATAGTCCTGTTCTAAAGTGACCTGAAGTAGGTACAGTTCTCAAACCTATTGTCTACAAATAACATACTTAGACCAAACCTAAACCCACATAGTGTGTACTACATCTAACAAATATTCTCAACAATAAAAACTACACTGATCTACAACTGACATATCTACTTGAAGTAAAACACACAACTTTGATCTAAAATTAACTGATCCACTTTACAACATTTGAAATGTACACAGTATTCACTAGATACTTTCTGATTTTTCCCCCCATTTGAATAAATTATTCTCAGATCTTTCATCGGCAATTGTATTGAGAGACAGGCATTCGTTCTTTTCTGCGCTGGTCCATTCTTTGGAAGAATTCTCTAATGTCTGTTTCTGTGACAACCTAGAAGATAGAAAATGCTTATAGTTTAAACAAAACAATTTTTGCTCTCTCATTTCATCTGCAATAATGAACGTGAATGTTTTTTTTTTTTACTTCATGATCAGGGTAGTAATAGTTCACATCAATGTCTTTATGCTGACATTTACAAACAGGCAACGTATCAAGAGGCGACCTGGCGATGCTTACAAAGAATCTTGTCATTAGGTGGAAAGATAGGTTAGTTGCGTATCCTTAACAGGACGTTGCAGAACCAACCCTAACAGCCTCTGCCAGTTGTGTGGTTTTTCTAGGCAAATTTACGTCCAGTAGTTTGCCATTGCTTTCTGGACGGTCGGCTTTCTTGATACCACTGTCTAAACCAACGCAAGGCACATGGCCCACGGCTGGGATCAAACCCGGTATCCCAGGATTACGAAGTGTTCGCATTGACTTAGCCACAGGCCAACGGTGGAAAGATAGGATAACAAATATATTGAGGTTTTGGAAGGAGCTGGTGTTCAAACAATTTCTTCAATGCTCAGTTTCTGCAGGCTAAGATGTCTTTGCCACACCTGGAGAATGAAGGATGATAGAATTCCAAAAGATATCCTCTATTGTGAATTACAGACAGTCAGAAGATCTCTTGGTCGACCACTGCTTCAATACAAAGACTAATGCAAGTGGGACATGAATGAAACAGGTATTGAGGTAAAATAATGGGAACAGGATGCCACAGATCGCATTGCATGGAGAGAAAAGATAAGGAGGGGAATAGAGGCAACAGAAAAGATGATTGCAGACTAAGAGCTGAGCATTTGAGAAGAAAAACAACATGCAATGACAAAAATGATCCCAAATTCCCATGCAGTCACTGTTCTAAACTTTTCTTGAAGCGTGCTGACCTTGTAAGCTGACCTTTTAAGCACCAGAGAAAATACCCAACTAACACTTAACTTTCTGTTCGTTTATACTGATTAACCCTTTTGAATATCAATAAATGTTTAAGAAACATTTCACATGTAGAATTTTTTTTTTTTATTGGTGACCTGTGTGTAAAATGGTTGGTTTGTAACTGATTGTTTTCCCAGAATTCTTTCGTGACTTTTTTTTTAGCATTCATATGGTTTAGGCTGTTCTTGATCCTGTCCTTCCATATTTTAGGCTCTTCCCCTAGCTGTGTCTATTTCTTCCGTATGGCTCTTTGTGGCGGCTGGTACCAGGGCATTCTCTTCAGATGGCCAAACCATCTCAAATGTTACTCTATAATGAACTGTATAACAGATTTCAGTCCTAGTCTTTTTTGCATTTCTTAATTGTATCTCTTCTAGTTAGTCCTGCAGCACATCTAAGATCTCTCTTCCCGTGTGGGTTCTGGGGCCCCATTGCAGGGAAAACAAGAATAGACCCAGTGCCTCCCCAACAAGCATGCAGCAGGAGTTGACTAACTGGAGACTTCCTTCAAAGTCAGAGTGCGAGACTTCCTTCAAAGTCGGAGTGCAAGACTTCCTTCAAAGTCGGAATGCGAGACTTCCTTCAAAGTCGGAGTGCATCTGCCCGTGCGACATGAAACAAACAACTGCACACAAATAAGCCAGTAAAACGGATGCATACGCAAAACTCAGGCCCTGGCTCAAAGTCAAAGTCCAAATGGACGAACAACCAGGACTTTCTGCCAGAGCTTACAGCCGGTGAGCAAAGAAAAAGAAGAAGATCTAAGACATCTCATCTGTTATAATTCTGCATTCATTAGTTGCAACAAGGGTTCATGTTTGACCCTGGACACAGTACTACAGATCTACTTAACCATCTCGCATCAAGAGGTCAATATTTTAGCACTGCCATTGTAATAAATCCTTGAGTAGCTGGTATCTTGTGTTTTGGCTTTGGCCAGTTCGTGCTTCTTTAATTAATTATTGGCTCTGGTATCTTTGCGCCTGCTCAGTGATTATATATGATTATACTTAATTTTTAAAAAGCATGGGGGTGTGTGCGTTGAGAACATTACTTCTTGGTCATTGACGGGGTCGGGAAATGAGGCAAGTAAAATTTGCATCTCCATGGGATTAAGTTCATTTACTGATTGATCCTCCTTATAAATTTATTTGTAAAGTTTTAAATGTATATAAGTAAATTTCGAACAATGTATTAGCAACCTATTTAAAGTGGCTGAATGTTTCCCCAGCAATTTCCAGGTTCTGAACCTTTTCCCAATGGTCTCCAGTAAAGGGTTACATGAAACATGATGTCATGAACAACAAACAGGTAGCTTTATTTGAGTAGACAGTGAAACATCAACGTGGACTCAGTGTAACAGGGAGTAAATCAGGAGGCTTTTCTCAAACAGTGCCACAGAAATTAGAACAGTTAATTCTGTTTATTAAAAGACACTGAAGATATAAAATGTTACATTATAACAAGCACAAAGATAATGTCCACAAACATAACCACATACCAACCAAAATTTCTAATCATCACTGAACACACTGAAACTGTCACTAACTGTCTCAATGTTGCAACTCTATAAAAAAGACAACAGTGTTCCACTTGGCCATAGGGAAGATTGGAAATCAGAGTCATGGCAATACCAATGAAGGCCAATGATGATGTTTTCTCCTCTCCATAACCCTAATCTGGGCAGTAATGTAGAGACGATGTTTTGCTAATGCAACAAGATCCTCTCTCACCACCTGCTTTGTTAATTCTAAAGGCAAAGTGACACAAATACTGCTGCAGCAGAGCCATCTGATCAGAACAGTAGTACTCTTGTCTGTCCGCGTGTGGGACAAACATACTGGTGCTACCTTTCCTTTTGGAATCTTCCTCTTCTTCTTCACTTCACCGGCTGCAAACTCCTGTGTAAAGTTCTGGGTGTGCATCAACCTCCGGACTTTAGTCTGATTTCAGAACACTTGGGTTTTGTGTGCACGTGCATTTTCACAGATCTGGCTTATTTTTATGCAGATTCTTAGCTCCTTGCCTCTCGAGCAGATGTACTCAGACTCTGAAGGATGTCCAATGACATGCTTGGGGAGGCAGCAGGTCTATTCTTGCTTCTTTATGCTGGGGCCATAGAACCCACATGGGAACCTTTCAAAGAATTAGAATAGATTAAGAGGCATCATACTGTACACAGACAACACATGGTGGCTACAATAAAGCACCGGCTTTGTGCTATAGGAACGAGGAGCTTCACTTCTAGCCTGAACTGGCTCAGTTACCTAGGCTTCTCTATAACATAACAGTATTGTCAGAAAAGACGGAAAGGTGTCAAAGAAATATAGCTCAATGACCACCAAGGCTTCTTAATGAATGTAAAAAATATGGAAGAATAACATTACCTTGCCATTTTGTGCAAAGCCATGAAGAAACCCATTCAGCTCTGTCTTAAGATCCATAAAACCTGAAATATAATAGAACTGTTTTCAACAGTGAAGTCTTTCAGTGCTTTAGAGGTGCTCTAGCTAACATGTGCACACAACGACAATGTACACCCCACCCACAATGGAATACAGGTTACTTGGTATAACCATTTCGATAAAACTGCTGTATGGCTATACAGTGCCCCGATATAACTGTGCTGTCTGGCTATGCGGTGCCCCGAAATAACTGCGGTGCGACTATACAGTTGATCGGGGTTCCAGGATTTGCGCCTTTTTTAGTCTCATCCTTGAGAGATGTTAATTCTACAGATTGCAATCCTGGAGGGAAAAGGGGGGCTAAAAAGAAAAAACTGTCTGCAGAAAAAGCTGTAACCTACTTCAATGTACATTAGGTATTAACAGAAATATCTACGTTAATAAAAGCTTTAAATAAAAACTCCTTGTGTAAAAATAGACTAATGAGGGGTTCTTCCTTCGAAGAGAAAGTGCATCTGCCTGAGAAGCAGGGAACCAACAGTTCTGCATATAAATAAGCCAGATCTGTCAAATGGATTACAAGCAAAACTGTCTAGACACTGACAAACAATCAGAACTTTCCGCCAGAGTTTACAGGCTTGTCAAACCATCACAATTTTGTTTCTTTAACCAAAGAACAGACGAATCATAGTTATTGGCAGTGAAAGAGCTCAATGGATGGAGAAGGGAGGGGGTGGGAAGAATATATATTCTCAAACTGATATGAAAATACCGCCGCATGACGGTAACTGAGACATCATGCACTGCCCACATCCATGTTGCTATGTCGGCACCTTTCTTCCCTTCCAGACGACAAGGTTACAATGTGCTACATGGAGACATAGGGGTAATCAACAAGAGAGATGAAGTTTCTCCTCTAACACACAGCCTGGACAGCTCTGTGGGGACCATGCATCGCTCATGCAGCATGATCCCTCTCTCAGCCTACCTTGAGTTGGGTTGAGCTGAGTCAAGAATCGACATCACAGCACTCGGGGCATTCCTATGCATGCTCCATTCTCATCTTCAGCAGCCAGTGCAGAGTTCCAATACTGATGGTACCAGTCATAATCTGGTTATATGTCCGTCTTGCCTTTCCTCTGAGTGTAGTGAGCCGGCCAGACCCTCTGGTTACACCCAGGTGCATCATTCTCTCCAGGCCATAATAATCTTTCTCTACTGATTCTGTTGCTTGTTGCCAAAGGGCCTTGACCACATCAACCGTGTCCTGTATCAATTCACCACCCAGTGGTGCAGATCCAGCCAATCTGTATGTCTCTGTTCATTACCCACCATGCCAGCATGGCCTGGAGAAAAAATCTAAAGTATGGTCACTATTTTTGACCTTTCCAGTGAAGCTTGCCACTCTAAAGGAAAGGTAATAACAAATGCATATAAGGTAATAAATTCCCATACACTGTCAGTCTTTATTGCCTACATTTACCACTTTGAGAGCCCTCAGCCTGAAGATTTAGGGCCATATGGCTTTGTCAAGACATCTTTCTGAGATGACCGTGTTTTGAATGGTAGCTCACACAGTCATAACAAGCCAGGCAGAAAGACTGCAAGATACGTGTGACACGGAATACCTAAGGCTAAAGATGACCAATGGGAAAGATAAGAGGTCAGCTGTGAACAACAAGTTGAGGAAGGCAGGAGACTAGTACTAAATGTAGTCCAACTGAGGTGCACCAGCTAATGTTCTTTAGCAGTGACTTCTAGGAAGAAAGTATCGATGCAGATAAACTGTTTGAGTAAAGTGTCAGAATCAAAGTAAATAAAATGGCAGAATTTACAGTGGAACCGGAGTCCCATGCAACATTTTTTGATTGTAGACTTGTGTGTGTGTGCTCCCTGGTAAAAGCTGTGCACATGTGTGACAATGTTTAATGGAGAAGTCTGAGGCCAGCTGACGTGTGGAAAACCCTGGACTGGAAAAGGATAGAAAATAGCTTTATTGCACTTTCTGTTTAAAATATTTTTCACAAGGGACAGTAGTTTTCACAGGCACAGAAGCAGAGAAAATATGGAATGACTAATCATTAAGTTAGAATTACAACTAACTGGTTAGCCCACACAACAGCAAACAACTCTAGCTCACCTCGCACAACCTCAATTTGCTGAACTCGGTTCATCCCAGCAAGAGCTGTTGCTGTCGAATCTTCATCCGACATATTTGTGGTAGAGTCTCGACCTTTTTCTTCATATGCACGAACTGTGTCCGACTCGTCAGTGAGAAACTCTATACCTTTCTCTTTGTACATTTGCTGGAAAATAAGGTCATCGTATTCTGCATAAATATTTCAATGGCAAATCTGGTCACGTTCTATAAATGGGACAAGGCACAGGCTAAGATGTGTGCAAGATGAATGCACACATGAGCAATACAGATATTTACGTGGAATAAGGGAACAAAATGTCCTGAACCAGGTTGCACAGAAGAAGAAAATCATGAAGGGAATAAGAAAAGAGGAGAAAAGGATTGCAGAGGTCAAGAGGTCAGCGTCTGAGAAGCATTTTAAATGCATATTATGGCAATACAGGTCCTGAAATCCCAAGCTGTAGAAGTCTTCTTCGAAAAGTCTTCCACTTCTGGACTTTAGTCTTGTTCCAGAACCTGAGTGTTGCGCACACATCCCTGGCATATTTGTAAGCAGTCACTGCTAGTTCCATGCCTCTCAAGCTGATGCATTCTGACCTTGAAGGAAGCCAGCCCCCCCCCCCCCCCCCCCCACACAATTAGTTGACTGACTCCTACAACATGCTTGTTTGGGAGGCAGTGAACAACATGCTTGTTTGGGAGGCAGTGAGTCTATTGTTGTTTCGGCCACAATTGGCCTCAAGAACCACATGTAAACTGACTGTAAAAGACAGCAAGTGGATCTTGCTGGTCAAACTTTCCATCGCCAGGGGCTGTGGTTCCTCATGCCTCTCTACAGCAGAGTATTCTATTGCCTCGAAAGACGGACAGTACCGATAAAATATAACAAATAATGTGAAAGGTCAAACCAAGACCATCAATGTTTATTGTTAGCACACAGATGATGATGATGAATCTTATGCTAACAAGTGAGTGACTCATTTGCTATGACTGGAATGAATCCTACATGGAAAGATAAATGAGCCAAAAATGAAACTACAGAAAGTTGCAGCATACATGTCAAGTTTTCAAGCCTCACAATTTATTTCTGAAATTAATGGCTGTCATTTTTTTTTGGGCGGTTTTAAAATGTATTAGGTGGGTATAGGCCTTACTCAGAATTCTGAGCTAAAAACCTGAGGTCACCTTTTACAATATGATTTATGACATTCCAGTTGCAAACTACAAACCCAAAAAAAATGACACTTACCAAACAATCTTTACACTGACAGAGTCTTGATCTCCAACCCTCTGGCCAAAATGCTGCTGAATCTGTAGAAATCTGTAACACACTTTTGCAGAGATTTTAAAATGCAGATATTGTCATCATTTTCTTGTGTTGTTTGGCTGTCCACTGTTTCTTCTTTTGCTGAGGTGTCCACTGTCTCTTCTTTTTCTTGGCTTATTTCTTCTTGTTTCTGCACCGCCTCTAACTTGACTTTCTTTGGTGAAGGAACCTGAAAAATTAATATAGTTTTATAAGTGCAAAGCCACGGGAGCACAGAAATAAAAGCAGACCCAGAAACACACGGGGAAGAGAGTTGGAGAGTGAGGTTAGAGACAGGAAGGACATAGTGTGAGCTACATGCAACAACAAAGGATAGAACAAATCGGTGTGAGCTACATGCAACAACAAAGGATAGAACAAATTGGTGTGAGCTACATGCAACAACAAAGGATAGAACAAATCGGTGTGAGCTACATGCAACAACAAAGGATAGAACAAATCGGTGTGAGCTACATGCAACAACAAAGGATAGAACAAATCGGTGTGAGCTACATGCAACAACAAAGGATAGAACAAATCGGTGTGAGCTACATGCAACAACAAAGGATAGAACAAATCGGTGTGAGCTACATGCAACAACAAAGGATAGAACAAATCGGTGTGAGCTACATGCAACAACAAAGGATAGAACAAATCGGTGTGAGTTGGTTGAAGGCCTACGCTTCATTGGAGGTAAAAGGTTAGAAGAAATAGAAAAAAAAAACAGAAGTTCATAACTAGAAGTTATTAAAGGAAGAAGATGGAAATGGCTTGGATATGTTTGGAGATTGCTTTGACACTTTGGGAGGGACAGCTCTTCGATGGACAGCAGAGACATGGATGACAGAAGTAAACCTGAAGAAGGACAGCAGAAAGGAAAATTACCACACAAAAAATTACATGGGGTTCCACAGGCAGAAAATTAGCAGGCCCTCAACAATGTAGAATACTTGTGAATGCCCCATATATTAACAGCAACATGAAGAAGACACAGACAGAATAAGTATAAATTAACAACCATTGAAAAGAAGAATTCTTTTCTTTTTATGGGAACTCCTGTAGTGTTGTTAGATGCTCACCTGCGGCCGAAAGGTTTTGGCAGATTTTCAAAACTGACCTTGGCTCCAAAGTTTGCAGACTAAAATGGGTACCAGTTAATATTCTGGGAAGTGGACAGCATAATGTTGATTACATGACTTATCCAGTGCTGATTGGTCTATTGAAACCTATGAGTCTAGGATCATATACCCAATGCCCTGTGGCGTAAAAAGTTCCTTTACATTATTTGTCTTATAGTCTATTCCATGTTTGTCTTATAGTCTATTCCATGTTTGTCTTATAGACTAGGATTTGTTTGTCTTATAGTCTAGGCTATGTTTGTCTTATAGTCTATGCCATGTTTGTCTTATAGTCTATGTCATGTTTGTCTTATAGTCTAGGCCATGTTTGTCTTATAGTCTATGTCATGTTTGTCTTATAGTCTATGCCATGTTTGTCTTATAGTCTATGTCATGTTTGTCTTATAGTCTAGGCCATGTTTGTCTTATAGTCTAGGCCATGTTTGTCTTATAGTCTATGTCATGTTTGTCTTATAGTCTAGGCCATGTTTGTCTTATAGTCTAGGCCATGTTTGTCTTATAGTCTAGGCCATGTTTGTCTTATAGTCTATGCCATGTTTGTCTTATAGTCTAGGCCATGTTTGTCTTATAGTCTATGTCATGTTTGTCTTATAGTCTAGGCCATGTTTGTCTTATAGTCTAGGCCATGTTTGTCTTATAGTCTAGGCCATGTTTGTCTTCTAGTCTAGGCCATGTTTGTCTTATAGTCTATGTCATGTTTGTCTTATAGTCTATGTCATGTTTGTCTTATAGTCTAGGCCATGTTTGTCTTATAGTCTAGGCCATGTTTGTCTTATAGTCTATGTCATGTTTGTCTTATAGTCGTAGGCCAATGTTTGTCTTATAGTCTAGGCCATGTTTGTCTTATAGTCTAGGCCATGTTTTTTTGTCTTATAGTCTATGCCATGTTTTGTCTTATAGTCTAGGCCATGTTTGTCTTATAGTCTAGGCCATGTTTGTCTTATAGTCTAGGGCCATGTTTGTCTTTCTAGTCTAGGCCATGTTTGTCTTATAGTCTATGTCATGTTTGTCTTATAGTCTATGTCATGTTTGTCTTATAGTCTAGGCCATGTTTGTCTTATAGTCTAGGCCATGTTTGTCTTATAGTCTAGGCAATGTTTGTCTTATAGTCTATGTCATGTTTTGTCTTATAGTCTAGGCCCATGTTTGTCTTATAGTCTAGGCCATGTTTGTCTTATAGTCTAGGCCATGTTTTTGTCTTATAGTCTAGGCCATGTTTGTCTTATAGTCTAGGCCATGTTTTTGTCTTATAGTCTATGTCATGTTTGTCTTATAGTCTAGGCCATGTTTGTCTTATAGTCTAGGCCATGTTTGTCTTCTTATAGTCTAGGCCATGTTTGTCTTATAGTCTATAGTCTGGCCATGTTTATAGTCCCATGTTTGTCTTTTATAGTCTAGGCCATGTTTGTCTTATAGTCTATGTCATGTTTGTCTTATAGTCTAGGCCATGTTTGTCTTATAGTCTAGGCCATGTTTGTCTTATAGTCTAGGCCATGTTTGTCTTATAGTCTATGCCATGTTTTGTCTTATAGTCTATGTCATGTTTGGTCTTATAGTCTATGTCATGTTTGTTGTCTTATAGTCTAGGCCATGTTTTGTCTTATAGTCTATGTCATGTTTGTCTTATAGTCTAGGCCATGTTTGTCTTATAGTTCTAGGCCATGTTTGTCTTATTAGTCTAGGCCCATGTTTGTCTTATAGTCTATGTCATGTTTGTCTTATAGTCTAGGCCATGTTTGTCTTATAGTCTAGGCCATGTTTGTCTTATAGTCTAGGCCATGTTTGTCTTATAGTCTAGGCCATGTTTGTCTTATAGTCTAGGCCATGTTTGTCTTATAGTCTAGGCCATGTTTGTCTTATAGTCTAGGCCATGTTTTTCTTATAGTCTATTCCATGTCTGTCTTTAAGTCTATTCCATGTTTGTCTTATAGACTAGGATTTGTTTGTCTTATAGTCTATGCCATGTTTGTCTTATAGTCTATGCCATGTTTGTTTTGTAGTCTATGCCATGTTTGTCTTATAGTCTATGCCATGTTTGTTTTGTAGTCTAGGCCATGTTTGTCTTATAGTCTATGCCATTTTTGTCTTACAATCTATGCCAGGACTACTAAACTCACTTTACTCATGGGCCATAATGCTGAAAATGGGCATTGTCATTGGTCAGTGGCCCGAGCTAAAGCATAGAAAGATCACTAATACAATACAGGTGGCAATAATCAGTGTCCCACTTGCTAGGTCTTCGCAGGCCACCTTTGACCTGCAGGCCACCAGTTGAATAGCCCTGGTCTCTGCCAAGTTTGTCATCACGACTGTCTGCAGTCTTCTAGCTAGAGCCAATGATTTCTGACAACAGATCTTCCTGTATAAAATGATGCCAAACCATCAAACAGTTTCTTCCTTGGTCTCTCCCTATTTCCTGATGTCACTACAGATGTCCCTTTCAGGGGAACACATGAGGCATTCTGTGTGTGTGTGTGTGTGTGTGTGTGGGGGGAGAGAGAGAGAGAGAGAGAGAGAGAGAGAGAGAGAGAGAGAGAGAGAGAGAGAGAGAGAGAGAGAGAGAGAGAGAGAGAGAGAGAGAGAGAGAGAGAGAGAGAGAGAGAGAGAGAGAGACTAAGTACTGCAGCAAAGAAAATTATCAAAAGCAAATACAGATAATGAAAAGACAGAGTGTACATGACCAGCCCTTACTTGTAAATCAGCTCCGATGTTGTCAGCTGCTTGTCTCTTTCTGGAATCATCTGGAGAATCCGCTTGTTTGCTGGGTGAGACCGGAATCAGTTTGTTTGCCTGCTCAGCCTCCAGAGGAGGATCTGTACACAAGGTGTCCTTCTCTGTATGAGATTCAGTACACAAGGTGTCCTTTGTGGTGTCACCAGCTTCTGTTGACAGTCCTGCTGAACCAGAATTGCTTCCCATCTGGATGACTGCACACATCAATGACCTCCTCGGTGTCGTCTGCAGCATCATCAGAAGGATTGCCTAGGAGCAATTAAACAGAACCCAAAAAATTACCCAGCATGGAAATAATTATATGCTTTCTAACTCTATCTTCGTTGGCCAGTAGAGAGGGTATCAAGCACTCCGTAGCTCCGGCGATAATTCTTAGCACGTGGTGAAGAGTGGGTTACAGTGCCACCCAACAAAACAGACTTGTGAACAGCGATAGTTACCTTGGACCGAGGGTGCAGGGAATGGATAGCTGGTGAAACAGCAGCGGTGCAAGAGTTGATCGATAAAAGTTCACACGCAGGTGATGTCAGTATATATACAGATGGGTCTGTAGTTAGAGGTAAGAAGAGTGGGTGGGGTTTTATTGTAAAGGTGAATGGACACTGCTAGAAAACAGAGCCTGGTATCGTGAACAAGGTCACCACATCCAGTATGATAACGGAGCTGGAGGCAGTAACAGTAGCTTTCAGATGGCCTGAGAACAGCACAGCCGGACATGCTGTGATTGTAACAGACACACACAGAACATGCAGGCTGATAGAGTGGCTGCTTCCATTCCTCTGGGTGGTGAGCTACTGTATGATGAAACAGATGTGGTGAAGGCTCTATGGGATCAACTGGACAGTGCAAAAGAACAGATAGGGAATCCATACATTGAAAGACTAATTCAACGGGGGTGAGTAATTGTTCTGGAAGATATTCAACACTGAAGGGAAAACCGTGACGAACTTTAAACCAGGCTGCAACTGGAACTATTAGCGTGTCAACTCTTTGTTGGTTGCTGAAGAAGGAGACGGAGCATGTGTGGGAATGTCCTGAGTGCAGTGATATCTTTGATTCATTCATTCTATGCTTTCTCTTCTATACCTGTCTCCAACAGGCATATCATGCTACGATTTCAGTGGGACATAAGTTTTTGAACATCTCACTTCTCCATATGTGGGTATGGCGTCCTGGGGGGGGGGGGGGGGTGGGGGGGGGGGGGGGGTGGGGGGGGGGGGGGGGGTGTTGGTTTAAACTGTTTATCAATTACTGATAAGAAAATGTTAAAAGAACATCAAACAGGGCATAACAAACACTCCACAGCTCAGGTGACAACATGCCGGGACATGTTGACATCATCACCCACCGAGTGCTGACTGGTCTATAAAATATAGATATAGGTCTAGGGGTGTGTCCCAGAAAAATTTTATATTGTGCAACGTAAGCGCAGGAATCACAGTCCATCCTGATAGCCATTGTTTCCAACAAGAACCTAGTACATTAAGAAAGGCATTCCTCAATTAGAGGGAGCCACTGTGGCATTGGCGACTAGACAACCGCCTGCGGATCATAAGGTCGTGGGTTCAGGTCCTGACGTAGCCTAATATTTCTTTCTCAAAAAAGACCTTGGCTCCCAGGTCGACCCAGCTCTGAGTGGGTACCAGGTGCAGTCCTGGGAAGTAAAGGCGGCCGGCGTGAAGCTGACCACATCACCCATAAAGTGCTGATGGTCTATAAAAATATAGGTCTAGCCCTACAGTCGAGTTCAGATAAGTCGAATTTCGGTTAAGTTGACATGACCAGCTTAGTCCTGGCAATTTTCTCTATTGTGTGTGCTGTCTGGATAAGTAGAAGTCTTGATAAGTGGAAGCATTTTCTTAGGTCCCTGCGACTTCTACTTATCCATACCCAAATGTATATGCCCAATACTCCTTTAGGTGTGGAAAAGGGTCCTTTACTTTTATTCTTCAATTAGAGAATCGATTCCTGGTGCATTGTTGCCATTGCATGTACTCAATGTGCTTCTTCTCCAATGCTCAACTCCTAACAACTTGACTGCAGATTGTTTTCTACTTGACCCTTTTATCCCTATTTCGTTCCTGATTTCTCTTCTCCAATGCTCAACTCCTAACTACTTGACTGCAGATTATTTTCTACTTGACCCCTTCATCCCTGTTTCGTTCCTGATTTCTCTTCTCCAAGCAAAACTGTCCATAGCACAAGACGCCTCACTTGGCCTGCTTTGTTAACTCTAAAGGAAATGTAACACCAATATGTTTGAAACAAAGCGTGCTGCAGAAGCTGCCGGATCAGACGAGCGGTGCTCTATTACTCTGCCTGTCAGAACTTCCCTCCTGGACCAGCTGCCAACCAAGGCTACGAGCCTGTTTACTCAGAATGTACAGGCTTTAATAATACTTAATGGAGCACGCATGTTAACCCCCCCTCCCCCCCCAACACTTACCTGGTCTGGATGTATTGTAAGCCCAAAGGAATGCATATTTAGACATACAGCCCGAACAGATCATTTCATGGAAGTCTTCTGGGGCCGTGGCTTTCAAATGCTGAAATGCACAATAACAATCAACTCTGCACCAAGTCTTCTTCTGCTGCTTTTCAAACCACCCCACCCCCAAGTGGAGTATAGGCTTTTAGCAAACTCGGTTGTCTTTTGTAACTGGAAGGGTGCACTGCTGCTATTCATTGCTTCCTCTAAGCGTTCGGGTAACACAGAAGCAGAATACTGGTCCTTCAAATATGAAAACCATTAGCATGGAACCCCAATCAACTAGTTTGTTGTGGTAATTGTATATGGACTTCACTGATGAAATGTTTCTTCTATCCCATGCTCATAACCAGATGTAAGATCAATAAAACATATTTGATAAGAGATTACAATAAGGGATACAAATTCATAGAGGGAAGACAAAGATATATAAAAATCTGAATACAAAAGGCAAGAGTGGTTTTCTTAGCACTAGGAAATCTGTGAAGATAACAGAAATTGAAACTAGTCTTTATCTTAAAATATTTTTCTCCACTGTCAAATCAGACTGTCTAGTGGAGCTGAGACAACTAAAATAATTACTAATAAACTTCAAGAATATATTAACATTAAAATATGCTAACATATATAAGGGAAAAAAACTAGAAGGAAAAGAAGAGGTAGAGGAGGAGGTAGAAAATGTAACAGGCTAGTGTCCTTGTTAACTCTTTCAGTACTAAGCAACGCACCATACATTTATTAGAACGTCATCACTCAATACAGCAGAACCCCAGGGTATGGATTTTCGTTCAATGACTCAGCTCGTGCAGTGAATAACCCAACCCATATCTGAAACTGTGCTCCCCATAAACACTAAAGTAAATAATTTCAATTCGCTCCAGCCCTCCAAAAATCACCCTAATAATTTCAAAAGGGTGGGTTTTTCTGGTTTTGTAAATGTTACGTTGCCTTTTATTTTGCTTTTGCCGGCAGCAGAAAACTTCCGACCATGATGCCACTGTCCATCCTCATCAAATGCCTTGTTGGCAGGTTTAAGGTTTCCTTTCTGCCACGTTAACGTGACCTATTTCAATTAAAAGTCATCAACATGCAGTCGGGTAACGCCGAGAGTTCTTGTTTCTCCAGCTCGCATCCTGGAATTCACCTCCTTGTGTGGGGCAAAACAATTGTTGAACCTGACTTTGTATTCTGAAAAACTGATCAGGGTACACTCATCTTGATATTCCGCTAGAAGTGTTATACTTTTTATGCCAGAACCAGCTGTAATAGCAAATCATTCTTTCCCAAAAGCTTCTTTTATCCTAAAATGTTTTATTTGAACCCATAGACCAACATTATTTTAGGCAATAAATTCTAAATTCTGTTGCTACAAGAAATCGAAAGACCAACATTTTCAGCCAGGTCCAATTCCCCCAAAATGTCACTTTTCTGACTTGTCTACGGTGATCGGTTTACAAGACACATGGTTAATGCTACTGGCTGAGCTGGTGCATGTGCAAATGTTTAGGAGTTCAGGATATGAATACATTAACTAACAATAGCACTTTGGGGGATTTCCTTTGAGCTAAATAGCTTTTTTTTTTAAAGCCAAGTTTCTCGTAAGTGTCTGTGATAGAGGTCAAAGGGTCACAGCATGAGTGATGTGATACATGTGTGTTATGTAGGCCCCAGATGATGTATTCCATTGAAGACTTCACCATGCTTGTGCTTATTGATTACTTCTTTTATATATCCCCATATTTTTTTTTCATGTAGACATACATTTTAATGAATGTGTTAGTGGCCAGATGATAAACTGCTGTTTTTACCTATGTTTTTTCTGGAATTCTAACATTTTTTAAAGCTATTTTCTGAACAAAAGAGTTCAGATAGAAAAATATGAAGAAATGCTTTCCTAGGACTGAAAGAGACAGAGGGTATACAATATAAGGTAGCTTACCCTTCCATGATACCAGTCTTCACACATGATGCACTTGTATCATATCATCCTCTACCTGGAAGAAGTCAACAGTTTATTTGTGTCATATTTAGGTGCTTTCAACCATGGGCAGACACATTATAGAAGCAAAACATCTTCAAAAGGTGGAAAATTAGGCATCTAGAACTATCTAAGACAGGCATGTCAAACTGACAGCTCGCATTCTGCCCTTTGCAAGCACACCTAGGGAACGTACAATGAAAATATCCTGCAATTATTTTTTATTTAACTTTAATTGGTTCTCATGAATGGCCCTCATGATGACACAAATATAACCCATATGGCCCCCATGGGACAGTTAGTTTGACATGCCTGAGATAAGATTATCTTTTTTCCCTCTATTATTTTCTTTTTCTTCCACCGTTTATCCAATAATGGAACATAGGCCCTCAATGAATTCATGTCGTCCTATTATGCAGCCCTGCCCATGTACTAATTATCTTTTAAATTCGCTCCCATGCTCCGACCTTTACGTGTTTTTGTTATTTTCTACACCCCTGTGGGTTTGGTTTTAATAGCTATTGGTTTTTTTTTTTTTTTGGTTGTTCTTTTTTAAAGAGGCTGAGGTATCCAACCCTCAAACCCAAACTTAACCATAATATGTCTCTTACGAAATGCCTGTTAGGGTGCATTGTTACTATTTGTTGCTTTTTGTGAGGGCCTCAGAAATACACAGGCAATTTGTATATTATTGGCATCCACTGCAGGTTCACATGGAAAGAGAAGAAGGACGCAGAGCAAGAGGTAGACCAAGAACAAGATGGAAGGATAACATCAGAGAAACTCTACAACAGCACGATGTGCCTATGGTCGAGGCGACCAGAAGAGCTAGAAACAGAACCTTATATCTCCCTCGACACCCACAGCGGTAAAAGAGGAAGTGAAGAAGAAGAAGAAGAACTGCAGGTTCAGGTCTGCTTCCATGAAAAGCAAGCCAATGCAGTGAGATTCTGGTTCCTCTATGACACAGGAACGAAGCACTATGTGCACAATAAAAAAGTAATAAAGTGAGTTGTATTGCACTTTTCTGACGAGCATATAAGGCTCAGTACATGCATTCCCACAATCATTTGGTTTCTTTTCTCAGGTGTTTTTTTCCTAGCCTTTAACTGTCCCCAGTCTCTACAAAGCTGACCGAGCCATGGAAAAAAAAAAACACGTTATAGAGGAAATATAGACATCAAGGGCTAATAGAAGAAGACACAAAAAGAAGACACAAGGCGGCAGGCTTCACATAGAAGACCATACCAGTTGCTAGGCTATCAGCGTAGCTCTTGCGGTCACTGAACTCACCAACCCTCTACCACACCAAGGTGTAGATGCATTATAGAGGAGATGAATGAGAATATTTTACAATTCAAATGAAAGTACAAAAACAATAGGAGATGAATGAGCTTATTTTACAATTCAAATGAAAGAACAAAAACAATAGGAGATGAATGAGATTATTTTACAATTCAAATGAAAGAACAAAAACAATAGGAGATGAATGACATTATTTTACAATTCAAATGAAAGAACAAAAACAATAGGAGATGAATGAGATTATTTTACAATTCAAATGAAAGAACAAAAACAATAGGAGATGAATGACATTATTTTACAATTCAAATGAAAGAACAAAAACAATAGTGGGTAACACTTAAACTTACTGAATCCTCAGGATCCGGGTATGGTCTGGCACATGAGCAATAAAGACCTCTGAAGTTCTGATTGTAGTAGTTGTCTGCGTTTAAACCTTTGGTTTCCTGGAAATATGTTTGAATATTGTAACAATAACAGTCAAACCATACAACCTCCTCATGAGGGTTCCAGGGCCCTATGTCATTGAAGGTGACTAATAAGCAGTTTTCTTAAATTAAAATGTGTTGTGCCAAAAGACGCAGATATCACAGCCTAGCTGTAAACCACAATACTACATGCTAACTGCACTTTTAACGGCGGACACAGAGGAAGAAGAGAAAGAAGAGGAGGAGGAGAAGATGAAAAAGCCATTACAGTAAATGAGCAATGATAGCACACTGCACTGCCTATGTACAAAGTAGACATGTTTACAGCCCCAAGCAGGTGAGGATGTTTGCTTTTTATTTATCTGGACTTCATCTTCTTCTTTGTGACTGGTTTTATATGCACAGGCTATCAGTTGTGATGCCTCTATGAACTGACACATCAGCAGCAAGGGGATACTCTCTGCGGCTGCGGTATAGTCCTCGGAAGTGCTCAATTGACACATGACTGAGGCCCTGTTAGGGTACATTTTCGGCCTCAATAATTTGGAACCGTTATTCGGAGGACAGCCCCAAATTTAAATGTACTTGCAGGCACTCACCGATGCAGAAAAAACAAAGTACAAACAGAAGGACTTTACAATTATATTTGTTGAAGTGTGTCTTTTTGTCTCCCATTACATTAACTCTTGCATCACCCTATGTGGCTCCCGGGGCCTCATGTTGGAAAGAGGATGGGAAAATAAGCATATCCACTGCCCCCATTACAAGCACGTTGAAAATAAAATGTGACTCAATAGATGTTTGCTGAAATCAAGTGAGTTGGGATGAAAAGTGCAGATATTTCAGCCCAGCTGACAACCACAGAAGGTGCCAGCCACTTATTTGAGGGCAAGCGCAGAAGAAGAAAATAGCTGATCTAGGTCAGACGATCACTGTAAGCATAAATTCATCTTATGCCTTGTATTCCCCAACTGAGCAAAAGCCCTCAGACAATTTGCATTCTGCACTTCCTATCATTTGCTATCCCCTACAGCTTCCTCCATACATTACTCATCTCTATCTTCTCTGTGTGCTTTTAGGTCTCCCTTCCATTTTTTTTTTCCCTTGTGGGCTCCAGAGGCAGAATTTTTTAATTATACTGTTAAAGTTTGCTGAATTCTCTCAATGAGCTCCATACTAATTCAACCCTAATTTCACCACCTGGCAAAATTACAAAAAAACAATCCAGCTTACCTTGAACAGCTTGCATTCCTTGCCCCCAAACTTGTCATTTCCACAATCACAGGTGAAGTATCTGGCAAATGTATCAATAGCTTCTGTTAAATAATTCCGGATCAAAACACCTTTGAGAAATAACCTTGGGTCACATACACCTTCTGTTAAATAATTTTGGATTACTACTGCTATTGTTAAATAACAATGAGTCATCAGACTTCTGTAAAATAACACCTTGCATTAAATAACACTGCCTACAACCCTGTCAGTTCTTCTTGATCAAGTGTTCCTTTTAAACCAGTCATCATCATCATGCAGCAGGTCCTTTGCAGACGTGGCTCTCATTACGTTCTGCCTGAAAGAAACTCGGTCTCTCGCCAGCTCTCCAGCCTCACGTACTTTCATATTCAAGGAGTCACTTGGCCTGTGCCCATCTTCGTGTTGGTCGGCCCCTGCCGCTTCTTCCTGTTAACATGCCTTCTGTGATTATTTTTTCTAATTCGCCATGGCGCTTGACATGACCCAAAATATTTCAGCTCCTGAGATAAGATGCTGTTTATTAGCCAATCTTCCTTGATGTTCAGATCTGTTAAAATGTCAGTATTTTTCCTCCTCTTTATCCACGATATTCTGAGAATCTTTCTGTAGCATTTCAACTCAAAAGCCCCTATTTTCTTTCTTAAGGACTGGGATAGTCTACGACTCACACCCGCATGTTGCTACAGGGAAGATGCATGTTCTCAAATGTTATTTTTGATTTCCTTGCTGGTGCTTAACCATAGACTTTTAATACTGTTTAAAAACCAATCACAGGTAACTATTATTTCTGAAAAAATGGGCTTATCCAGTTCAAGACCTATCCACACCTCTTTGCGGTCATCCGAGAAAAACGTTCTAGCTTTGCCAACACAGATAGCATCAATTTTTATTTTTAAAGTTTCAGTGCATCTGCCCAAAGAGGAGAGGAACCAACAATCTGCACATAAACAAGCTCGATCTGTAGAACTGATGTGCACACAAAATTCAAGTCCTGGAGCCACACCAAAGTTCAGAAGTGGCAGAACAACCAGGACCTTATGCCACCTGGTAGACGCATAGATCTGAATTAACAGAAATTCAAAATGTTGTAACTTATTTTAAACCAAATCGCAAGTTATAAACTTACTGTGACCACAAGCACACATAACAACTATTGTCATCATCCTCTTGTGCCATTAACACACAGGAAATGTGCAGTCTTTTCACAAATTCCCTTCTATCATGTAAAATCCTAATAACATAGCAAATATTAATATGTCTAACTCATCCACAAATTAGCATGACATTTTTTTTAAGAGCTAGTAGGTGTAATATAACGTATGAATCTGAAATCAGTTTTATTTAGTGGTTAAATCTATATACATAATAAACGAACACACCTTTTTGTGTACAGGTTAAATCTAGATACATAATAAATGAACACACCTTTTTGTGTACAGGTTACATCTAGATACATAATAAATGAACACACCTTTTTGTGTACAGGTTACATTTAGATACATAATAAATGAATGCACCTTTCTGTGTACAGGTTACATCTAGATACATACTAAATGAATGCACTTTTGTGTACAGGTTAAATCTGGATACATAATAAATAAATGCACTTTTTTGTGTATAGGTTAAATCTAGATGCATAATAAATAAACGCACCTTTTTGTGTACAGCTCGTACAGTTCATGACCTTCATGGCATGCGTAGCTACACGCTAAACAGATCCCCGCATTGCCCTCTGGGGTGCAGGTGGCGCATGCATACAGAGCCTGTCGCTTGATACGACCCTGAAAACACAAACATGTCATCAATCATCTACTGATGCAACCCTGAAAACACCAGACATGTCACTGTCATTGAGCAACTATTCGTCTGCACTCTTTACGTTAAAAATCATATCAAGACAATTTTTAGGAGTTATTGCAGTGACATAACATGGTTTTATTGCGCAGATAATGAATTTTTTGGCAGCACGCAGTGTATTTCACATTAAGTAAGTTCGAAAATATCTTCTAAATTAGCCAGATTAGGACAATTTGAAGTGGGTTTTTTTTTTTTCTGCGTTCATTTTTACAAAAGTATGGGAAATTTCACAAGATTTAAAGATAGGAGTTTCCGTTACTGCATTTACATTGCAATTTGTTACTTTAGAGGGCCCAAGGGGGAGTCAAAATAGACGTAAAATCTGTGATTTTGTTATTGGGTTTTTTTGTAAGAACCTATGAAAAGGGTAGTTCCCTTGGGGCTCAAAAAGTTAAAAACATATTATTTAAAAATTTTTTGGGCAAAATATTTTAAAAAGGTTTCTGTTTTAATTTTTAATTATAATTAGAAAAAATTTCCTTAAATTGACTTTTCGCCTCGCAAAAATTATCCAAAAAAGGGTGACAAATTTTTGAAGATGAAATGCGGGGGCAACTTCGGGCATAAGATGGTATCGCAAAAATCCCCTTTTGAGCAGTCAGTGCTTAAATTTGCGGTTTTCCCCGGACTACAGCCCCCGCCACAAAATCCCCCCCGCGCGTTTTGATTGGGGCTAAATGATGGCTAAACCCGAGCAAAGTTCAGGAGAGCGGAAGCGCTGCTCGTGGGTCCCGCCATCTATTTTTCCAATTTAACCACGTGAGCGGCGTGGGGGACTTGTGGGGGT